ACCAAAACACAACTGAAGCACAAGGTCTGCTTGTGGGCGAATGCACTTTTTATGCGAGGTAATCCGGTTTTTAAAGCTCGCACGTGGGCAGCAACAGCCATGGGATAGTTTCTTATTATTCCAGCTGTTTTCTCGTGAGATCGTTAACTTCAAATTTTGAGAACAGTGAGATCAGTCACCTTCGTTTTCGAAAACAAAACTTGTCTTTACTTGTTTTATATTCCTTTAAGTCATGCTGTATATGTTGTTTAACAGGTTGTGGTATATACGATGTACTTGATGTGTCGCTTTAGCACCATTTACAAGACTTGTCTACCTGTCTGTCTCTTTTTCCTCTTAAATATTACTACTATCATGGATCTCAATCGTAAATATGCACTAAGTTTGTTCCTTATTAGAGAAATTTCTAAATACGAGAGCTGTTGAAATTTTTAACTAATCTTGACTTGATCAACATAAAGCAGTTTCTCAACCCAAAGCGTAGTATTTGCCAAAGTGTTCACTATACTTGAAACTTCATATCAACAAGGAAAATGACATTCTTATTTAATACCTACTTGTAGAGTCATAAGGTTATTTTGAAACAGGAGATGAATAATGCCCTCGATGGGACTCGAATCCTGGACCTCTCAAATATGCGTCGTGTGTGCTTTCAGTTACACAACAAAGGCATGCGGAAGAAAATACATTATATGATTCCCCTTTTAAAGGCTGACTGGGGATGAGGTGACCCAATTGCCAGATCCTGGGAATGACAAATTATGATCCACCCCCTTTTAGTTCGGGTACCATTTGTAGAGTTCTTAGTTTTTTCTATGCTGCAGGCGTGAAAATGTGCAATGTCCTCGCCGGGACTCAAATCTGGGACCTCCGAATACGCGTAGAATATGCTTCAATTAAAACCACGAAGGGATGCGGGTAGAAGGGAGAAAATACCTTATAAACTCACATTTAAGTTATCAGCATTTAATATCTTGATTAATTAATAAGCAAACTGATCATTCTTTCAGACTGATTGTACCTTCAGCGTGAAAATAATTTATGTTAGTCACCTGAGACTGCATTGCAGAAGAGTCATATTATTGTGACTGTGATTGTTAAGAGTTAATACAATTTTGTTCGCTAACCTTTCAGAGCACAAATCCTATTTTATTTTTATTTCAAGTTGTAATTTCTCCTTATTTCATGTAGATTTAATTAAATGAAGTATAATGATCGTAATATTTCCGAAGGCCAAACGAGTTGACTGCATGATCATTTCGTAATTTCTCCCACTTGTAAAACGAATAGTTGCCATTTTTTCTTTAAACCTTTATGGAGGACTGTTCTTAAGATGTTTTCTATGAAGGCATCTCCCCCCTTTAGCCAGATAGTTCTCTTACACTTTAATTCTAAAACTAAATCAAGTCAGTTGGAGTAAAACTTAGCTGTTTTCATTCTATTTTGAACTCTATTAGAAAGCTTTATTTATAATTTCGTTCTAATGAAACAAAGGCATATGTAAAACTTAAGAATAAACGTCCTTTTGGAAAGTTATCATCGCTGAGATTGACTAATCGATTTATTGCGATTTGCACGAATCTGCGCTTCAGATGGCACGTTGAATATCAAAAATTTCCAATTCTGCGAGGGTTCACGTGATAACTTTTATTCGGGGAAAACGAATATCATACCATTGAAGAACTGCATTTGCCATAAATTCTAAATCAGTGTTACTTAATCATTCATGACATTTTCAGGTCCGTTTCGTTGCAGCACACAAGAACTAAAATATCATGTGCAGCTGTCATTTGATTTTTGAATTAAGTAGGGGCTGTATAATCGAATACTATAAATCGTTCATCTGGCACTTACCAGAGAGCATATTAGAAGGAATTTGCAATGGTATCAGGCTGGATGATGCAGAATCAGACATACGTCTTGTTCTCCAATGAAGGCTTAACACAAATCCTGGGCCTCTCATTAACTTTACTAGATTAGAACTAATTTCGTTAACTTTATTAGAACTATATTTAGTGTCCAGTCAGATTCCTGATTTCAATTCATCTGGCGTGAAACGGATAAAAAGAGCAACAGAAAAGTTATTTCGGAAAGGTATTATTACGGGGCGTGAAGTGACATCCTGAATAACGATTGCATTGAGATACAGCTGCTATAAAATGGCTCCATGATCTATGATTACTACTGTAAAGACATTATTGAACGGCATGTCCACTTGTCGTCTAAATATGCAGCGAGCCGAATGTCCTGTCGAGAGGCTGGTGGTGGGGGAGGAGGGGCGTGACACCTTCGCCCCCCGAGGTGCTCTCCTTCAAAATTGGGGGGGGTGGAACTGAGTAAAGTTGTACTCTTACCCGTATGGTGCCCATGGCTCTTGCCAACGACAAACGCAATCGTGCCTCCTTGCCACGAGGAGTTTCGTGGTCTTGGTGGAATATTAGACAAGCGAGAGTAATCACAGCAACAACAATTTAGCAAAAAATATTCGTCATGGCCCATGGAAGCAAGCTCTGTGTTCAAATGCTGTGTGCTCTGTGTATTTTAAGTCGAATTAAAATTATTCTCATTACCAGTTTGATTAATTAGTTGAGCAATCTAAATATAAAACATTTCATTTAGTTACTTGTATGATTTTCGTTTTCATTATGTTTACTTCCATAATCTTTCATTTTGCAATAACTTCGACATAAAATTAGCTCGCACATGCCGTTTAAATAAAACACATGCTGTTTAAATAATTAGCTTGTTGTTAGCTTGTTGTTTAAGTAAAACAAATATTATTTAACATGTATTGTGACTAATTTTTGGAATATGGTAACAGGTAGTTTTGCGACATTTTGGTAAGGCGATAAAGGTTACTAGCTAGGACTTTAGCAGTGTACATGGATAAAGTCAAGAGTGTGCGCAGTGCCATTTTTGTGCAATTCTGGGATATTTTTTTTAAGTGAAAATAGGTCGACGTGTACATGGATACCGTGTATGTGCAATTCTTAAAAATGCGGCAAGCAGTGGGCGATTCTGCACTTTCTCCCAATTTCGCACCTAATCTTCGTCATGATTAAGCACTTTTGTTCCATAAAAATTCTAGCATAAGTGTAATTCGGCTAGCAGATTGTTAGAAAAAAAATGTTGAGTTAAAAAAAAAAAAAAAAAAAGCCTTTACTTCGTGAAAACAAAATGGCGTCCAAAAAAAAGCTAGCAGGTTGCTGTAGCAGGGTTGGTCGCCAAATTTTCGCCAAAAAATCACCAAGTTACCATAATCTAAAGATTAACCTGTATTGCTTCATTCATATATGATAAGAATTCAGATTTCCTGAAATACTTTATATGCATATTGAAAACAGAAGCGAACTTAATCGCATTAAACTTAATCGCAAGAACGAGAATTATTAACTTCGAGCAATTTTAAAAATGTGAACTTATTAAAAATTCAGCTTCTTGGATACAAGATAATGCTAACACTCAAACAAAATCTTAATTCATTGTATTGCTGAAAAGGTGATTTTAGGCGACAGACATATACATTTAAGATTTTTTACTCGCATTCAGATTTTCTGAAATATTTCACATGCATATTGAAAAGAGGAAAGAACTTAATCGCTAGAACGACAATTAATAACTTACAAAATGTTTTACTCATGTGAAAAATCAACTTCTTGGGTGCAAGACATTGTTAACATAAAAAGAAAATCGTAAAGGCCGCCCAACCGGAATAGTGGTTAGCGACCCTGACTTCCGTACCGAAGGGCCCGGGTTCGAATCTTGGCATAGATGTTTGTAAATGTATAGTGTCTGTGCGGCAAGGGTGTGCTCTAAACTCTAAACTTACGTCCAGCCGAAAGTCCTCTCGAGAGGTTGATGGTAGGGAAAGAGAGGTGGGAGACCTTAGCACCCGTTCCTCCTCGAAGTGCTCTCACCTTGGGGGGCAGGACGAAAATTTTAGTCACTGCATGGTGCTCAAGGCTCTTACCAACAACAAGCGCATTCTTGCACTCCTTGCTCCGAAGGATTTCGTGAGCTTGTTCTGAGGTCACTGTTAGACAAGTGAGATAAGTCCGAACACACAACAGAAAATCGTAATTCCTTGAATAGCTGAAAAGGTGATTTTAAGAGACAAAAATGTACATTTAAGATTTTAAGATTTAACTCTTGTACGTATTTATTAACCCCAGATCACCTACAATTAAACCATTCTTAATCTTTATGTTTTAAAACTATATAAATATCCACAGTTATATTTTCTATTTACTAAAAAACAGATTTTTGGCTTCTATTACCTTTTGCAAAGTTAAACTTCTGATTATAGGCTGAGTAAAGCTTTATGATAATATTTTTCCATTATTTTTCATTTTGCAGAAAATAAGAATGCTTGAAGCACTGTCACTGAAAACTAATAATGCAATATATCTCTACCTTATCCTAATATTGTTGCTGAAGTATAAATTCCTGAGCAATCAATCCTGAAAACTTGTTGATTAAAGCCCATTCTTATAATACACTTTCCTTCAAACAAACTACATTTGAAGGAATTCTGTACGAAATCCTTATAGATGATATTTCTTTGGAATTGTTCTGAAAACAATATACGAGATGGCATTTTCATTCCGAACGTTTCGCCTGGAAAATTTTAGTCATATTTAGCTATGTGGTCACGTTTTTTCCTAATGCAAATGGATTCTATTCCATATCAATCACGTACCCACCAAACTTTTCTTACTTTTACTTTTCTCCATTTCAGTCAAGCATCCAAATTTATAGAGCTTAGCATCTTAAAGTGTTCAGCATATGTGAGTGATATGTGTTAAGGAAATCTGAAGCCTTGTTGTTGCATCTTTAAAGCAATGCCGTATATGAATATGTTGAAATTCATTTTTTTACGCATACAAGCTAAATGAACAAGCTAAGTGTTTAAAATCATGATAATAATCTGAACTTGGGTTTTTAATGGATATTTCCGAAATTATGTTTGACAGTTGTTAATATTATGCCATTTATTTCAGGATCTGAGAGAACTGTTGAATCGGATCGCATGATCATCCTGTCTCCCGGTGTACATTCTTTTCCATTCAAGTTAGGTTTGCCACTAGGATTACCTTCAACTTTCCTTGGAAAGCACGGCTGGGTTCAATATTATTGCAAGACAGCTTTGAAGGAACCGTCTGGGCTTACACATAAAAATCAACAAGTGTTCATCGTTATGAATCCCATAGATTTAAACTTGGAACCACCTTTGTTAATGGTAAGAAATTCCGATCCATAAAATAGCCAGCTTCTGTTCATTTGCATTTTTTCCTGTAGCAAATGATAATATAAATTTTTCAAAGCACCTTTTTTCCGACTTTGTTTGCTAATCAATCAACCGTATCTTTTTTTATAGCTTCACTAAACTACTGATATACAGATGACGCCGCTTAATGTGTTCACATTTGTTTATGAATATTTTGATAGCATAAGCCAAATGATAGATAATACTAAGCGATAAAAAATAATCTTAAATAATCGGTGTAATTTAACTAATTTAATATAAATAAAATTAGGAGCATACAAATATTTATTTTCACAGCATTCTAATTAGAGAAAACAACATTAATAGTTTATTGCTTGCAAATGTTACGGTAAAGTCCATTTATGAAATGGCCTTCTCTTCGACGAAAAGCTAAAATGGATCCCACATATTCTTCACCTTAAAACGCGAGCTCTTACCATTGCTAAACGCCTTCGTCAAATGCAAGGATCTACCTGGGGTTTAAATCCGTTTATTTTGAAAATTCTATACCAGACCGTCATAGAAAAAATTATTACCTATGCTACAGCGGTCTGGGTTGAACCAATGCAAGCACGCAAAGTACGCCTTCTGCAGTCTATTCAACGTCATTTTGCCCTTGCCATGACAAGGGCATATTGTACTACTTCTAATCACGCTTTATGTGTACTCGCTGGCGTCATTCCTTTGCATCTTAAAGCATTGCAAGAATCTACAATCACTAAAGTTAAACAACTTCAGCAAGCCGTCTTATTTGGATGATATTCTTCATTCGCCTGTTCTTTTGATACCCCAGCGCATCCACTTACTATACATCCATCAACCTTTGGGAAAGGTTTATCAGTTTTCTTGAAAGGAGAATGTCAACCTCCAGCAACCACCATTAATATCTTCACAGATGGATCAAAACTTGATAATTCTACAGGCTGTGCTTACGCTACTTATGCGGATAACGTCCCCATCTTTCATTGGAAGGGCCATATGCATTCCAATAACAGTGTTTTCCAAGCAGAATGCTTGGCCCTTCAACAAGCTATTGCTTATGCCACAACGTTACAAGCGTCTTCTGTCAATATTTTTACAGATAGCCTGTCAGCCCTCTTCGCACTTCTTAATCCTCGCCATTACTCTTCTCTTATACATAGGATACAACAACTTTTGCATGATCATGACTGCCCGCCCACATATTTAATCTGGACTAAAGGCCATTCTGGCAATGCCGGTAACGAACTTGCAGATTTTCTTGCAAAAGAAGCTGCAGCCAATTTTCAAGCTGAATCAGTACAAATAAAATGGCCATATTCCTACATAAAACATGCAATCTTCTTACAAACTGTGTCCAAGTGGCAGGCTGAATGGGACTCTGCTACGATGGGCAGAAGAACTTATTACCATCTTTCTTACGTAGATCCGGCTCGTCAGATTACCAATCCTCACCTTACATGATTCATCTCTGGCCATGGGCCGTTCCCTGTCTACTTTCACAGACACCGTACAACAAATACAGACTTATGCGTCTGTGAGGAGACGGGAACTCCCGAACATTATCTTACCTCGTGTGAACTCACTCGTGCTCATCATATTAAGATGCCATCATCTAATGTACAGGCATTTGCCAAATTTATGGTGAAACAACCTCACCTGGTCAAAAAGATATCTTCCATAATGTCTCTTCTTTTCGACTATGGTGTTGATCTATGCCAAACTGCATAATCTTTATGTTTTCGAGGTATAGCAGTGGTCTTAAACTGTTCATTTGTATATGATTCTCCCTTTCACATGCTTTCTTTAAATTTATATTGTAATGTATTTATATTGTAATGTAAGAATTTCTTTGACACAATTTTATTGTAACTTCACCATACCCTTATATCATTGATTATGTTTAATTGTATTTATAATCTTACTGCCAACATTATATCGGCATATTTTGTATATATTCCCTATACTTATCACTAAACAAATGGACTTATTGAATTGCTTCAACAAAAGACCTGTAAGTCTTTGTTTAGGTAATTGTAGTATGGCAATTAAGTTATACGTATGCACTTATAGTCCTTGACATTTAATGTATGGTATGTATATTGTATAGTATATCCTTCATAATATTCAATGCATGGTATTAATGTATGGCATTAATATTGCATTACATATATCTCTGGCCTTTTTATGCAGAACTTGTGGGTATTAAGTTTATATGTGTGCATTCCCAGTGTTGGGTATTTAATGTATGGTATGAATACTGATTGTTATCTACTGTATTGCATGAATATTGCATTATACATATTTCTTTGTTTTCACTTCTCGTATCTACATTGCAACGTATTCAATCGCAGTAATGGGGATTAAGTTATACGTATGCACTCCAAGTCCTCGGCATTTAATGTATGGTATGTATATTGTATAGTATATCCTTCATGATATTCAATGTATGGTATTAATATTGTATTACATATATTTCTGGCATTTTTATGTACAACTTATGGGTATTAAATATATATGTGTGCATTCCCAGCGTTGTATTTAATGTATTGTATGAATACTGATTGTTATTTACTATCTAGTATGAATCTTTTCTTATACATATTTCTTTGTTTGTACTTCTCGTATCTACATCGTAACCATTTCGTCGCAGTATGGGGATTAAGTTATATGTATGCACACATAGTCCTCGGCATTTAATGCATAGTATGTATATTGTTTCGTATATCCCTCATGATATTCAATGTATGGCATTAATATTGTATTACATATATTTCTGGCATTTTTATGCAAAACTTATTGGTATTAAGCTTAATGTGTGCATTCTTAGTGTTGGCATTTAATGTAAAGTTTGCACACTGATTGTTATTTACTGTATGGTATGAATATTGTATTATATATATTTCTTTCTTTACACCTCTTGTCTCTATATTGTAATGGTATGGGGAATAAGTTATAGGCACGCACTCATAGTCCTAGGCATTTAATGTAGGGTATGCATATTGTATAGTGTATACTTCAGGATATTCAATATATAGTATTATTATTGTCTTATATATCTTTTTGGTATTTTTATGCACAATTTTTGGGTATTAAGTTTATATGTGTGTATTCCCAGTCTTGGGTATTTAAAGTCTCGTATGACTATCGTACTGTGTATACACTTATTATTATTTAAAGTATGGTATGAATATTACATTATATATATTTCTGGTATCCTTCTGATTTCGTATTATATATTTTTCTATATATTTCTTATTGTTATTTTTATGTATAATGTATTTAACTGCAGTCTATGTATTCTTTTATGTGTATCAACCAGGAAAACAAACACCTCCGATCTTTTAGCATATATATCTTTATGTGTACCACAATTTTTCTCTGCAATGTACTTATTAATATAATAGGTATATTCCCTGTATACGTATTGTTTACATATGTATACGCCTATTATTTTTGTGTATTTTATTGATAATGCATACATATCTGTATATTCATCATTCTGGTACTTACCTACATAAGTGTTGTATTTGTTCACCGCATATTCACTGCAAGTATTTATTGTATTGGTACCACCTGCAATACTATCTGTATCTGCACTAAATATATATGCTTTAAATCTCTGTGTAAATAATAGTATATATATTGCTTAATTATTGTAAACGACAGAATATATTACATCAACATGGTCTTGTACTTACAATTTTAAATATATCCTCACTATGTTTATACATTGAAACTTTTGTTCTAGTGCACACATTACCTGCATTGTATTTTTAATTTATTATCTCTATTGCACTGTTGGAGTTGAAAGTATGCCGTCGGTATATACCATCTATATTGTACTTATAGTGATGTGTATCTTTTATATATTGCATTTTAACAAAACCGCCTACCCAGTTGGAATGTTAATTTCCAACCTTTAATGTCCTTGGTACTTCAATACTTCTAATGCTATTTGTAACGTTCATGCCTTCTTGGTGCCGTTCCCCCATGTTAAAACCTTTATGTTATTATAATTCTTCTTGTATTCCATATTTGTTCATAATTCCATATTTATTGTATTTAATTATTATCATATAGTTACTTACTATTTCAACCATTTCTTATTATATCTGGCTAACTTAAGCATATTTAATATTATCTCATATAATATTTATGTTTATTATTTCTTTTGTAATTATTACCCTTGTTTAGACATGTAATTTTTTATTTGATTTTAATAAATTCCCAGTAGCTCTTTGGGTAGCGAACGGCACGGGGCCTGGATCCGACGTTGGGCTTCGGCGCCGCGGGGGGCTCTCATGTGTAGATCTCCTCTTTTTGTTGTTGTCTCTAGACAGGGGTGGACGCGGTGCTATACCGATTAACCTAATGGTAAAGGGACAGTGCCCGCGTCCTCCGTCACTTTTCACTTGTCACTTGCAGAAGTGTATCCCGTGATGGACTTGGATTTGTTTCAAAAAGCGACTGGCGGATATCTTTTCCTGTTACTGGTGTTATAACTTAAGATTGAACAGAACTGTAACAGAACTTCAGCTGTCGTGACAGTCTTTTGCCCTGGAATTGGGTACGCTTTGGGCCACTTCGTAAAAAAATCCGCGACAAGGAGGATGTATTTGCTTACATCTGTGGTCCGCGACAAAGCTCCAAATATGCCGAGAGCAATTCGCTGGAAAGGCGCTCGTACGTTGTATTGCTGAAGCCTTCCCCGGTTACTTCCGTTCGGGCCTTTCTTAGCTACGCAAGCATCGCAAGATGGCATCACTTCTCAACATCGATTCTCGTCGACCTCCAAAAGAAGCGCTCTCGAACCTTGTTTGGGATCCTCAAATAGCCGAAATACCTTCCTGTTAGGCTGCTGTGTATTTCAATCAACATCGACTATTTGTCCCGCCTTCCTAGCGTGCCTTCGTGGTGTAGTGGTCAGCACACTGAGCCGGTATTTCAGAGGTCCGTGGTTCGATTCCTGGCGAAGGCCTTGCTAATTTTCC